CTCCCATACCTTCAAATCCCTTCCTAAATCCCACTATTGTCATTGTCTTCAGCAGCACTTTTAGTCGTAAAGGCTTTTCTTCCATGGTTAATAACAGATACAATTTCCACTCAAGAATAATGTACATACACTAGCTTTTGTGTCCAGTCATCCTCACTCTCCTTCAGGTTTGTGTTCATTTCCAGCATTGCCTCACTAGCCATAATAGTCTTCTCTTCCTAGTCTCTATCCTTAGAGAAGAAAGAATTACCTTAATCATCTCAAACTTCCACAAACTCCTGTGTTTTCTGCTCTCTATTTTGCTGGTACCACTAATTAATGGTCACTTTGTGTATAAGGGTAAGTTCATATTACACAATGCTGAAATGTGAGGAACAACTCAGTTGGCTGTAAAAAACCTAGTTCAGATACTGGAAGCTGTCAGCTGTGGTAGCATAGATCACTGCCTAAGCTAATTTGCCTTGCTAAGAAGCAGGACTCATTTAGAACTAGCTTGAATATGTCTATGTCACACTGGCTGTGTCTACACGAGACACTGATTGTACAGTCATTGTCTGTATAAAAGTACTAAAGGACTGTGCATCACCAAACAACTTTTTACTGTGCAGTAGCATTACCAAAGAGCCTTTTTGTGATGCTGACTGCACAGTAGCCCAAGACTACTGCTCAGTAGTGTTGCGTCATGCTTTCATGCTACATGACGCTACTGCGTGGTAGTCATGGGCTACTGCGTAATCAGTGTCTCATGTAGATGTGGCCACTGAAGGGCATTGGCGACAGGTAGGGGGTGAGCATGGCAGTGCACCCCCTGCAAAAAGGCATCGCTGACACTGCCAGCAGCACCTGCAAGCGGTCGTCACTCACCACCCCTTCTCCCTGCCGTTGACACTGCTGGTGGCGTCTGCAGGTGGTCTGCTGTGGGTGGTCACCAACTGCTGGCTGGTGCTTGCCATCTCCCCGCCCCAAGCAGTGCTTTGGTCACCTACAGGAGCTCCCTGCTTGCCGTGGCCATGCTTCCACTGCCAACAGCGCTGCCACCACCTGTGAGACCTCATCGTGCCCCTCCAGTCTGCAGCATTCATGTTGAAGGGTGTAGTATGATCATTTCTAAGATTTTTGCCTAGGGTGGTCCTGCTTCCTTGTTTGCTCATCAGCAGTGATCAAAGTAGGAAGGCTTTTACACTCTCATCATCTGGAATGTTTCTCCCCTATTTGCAACATCTGGCTCCTAAAGGTTTCTGTCTGAACATATCCTGACACAGGTGGGTATGCAGCAGTTCTTTATATGATACTAAAATGAGGATGGCAGAATTAAAACTGGGAAAGAGAGAGAGTGAGTAAGACTAAATGGAACACATTTGTGGGTGGTTTTTGTTGCCTGCCCAAAACTTAAACAGTTAGGCTTTTGGGGTTTTTTTTAAATCTGGAAGGAAGATCATATTCCTTTTTCCTGGTACCTACTATTTATTTAGTAACAGCATATATCTCCCAGAGACAGCAATGAGGTTTTATATTTATGACTTCAGTGAGGGAGTCATCTAATCAAAGGTTATTATCCAACAACTCAAAAGCAATCCTGAGCCTAATATGGATTGACTGTAATCCTAAAACCATATTTACAGCCCTTCAGGGATTCCTGGGAAAGACTTGATATTCAGCTCTAACTCCCACATTGTTAATTTGAAAACCTATGGCTGTTCTTTTTTTTCTTCTCTCCCTCCTTCTTATAGACAGCCTTCAAAGTCTGCTTATTTTAGCTGAATACTGACATAAGAGGGAGATAGACTGTTAAGTTTATCTGTCCTAAATGATAGAGTGCTCTGAAAGATCCTTGGCACGTGTGCACGCGTGTACTCTCTCTTGATTTCTAGCTTTATACTTGCTTGTGACTTAGTAGATTTCCTCTAATGTTTTCTCAGAAAAAACAGAAATGTAAACAAACTATTTTTCCACAGGGACAAACTCGCTTTTGAACTTGCAAGTAGGCTTTTAGGTTATTTTATTTTAGTAAAGTCATTCGACTTCAATTGGTGCAATGCCTTCTTTTAATGATCCATTTATCATGCTACTTCACAGCTGAAACCCTGACCTTAAATGATGTAGATGCACTTGGCAGGATAATGTTGTCTGTGTATTTAGCAATAGAACTGTACTGCTGGTGCAGCTCTGTATGAGTTTGGACGTTAGGGACAAAATACTGAGGCCAAGATTCAAACTGGTTCCCTTAGGGCCTGAGGCAAGAGGGGCAGTGCATGCTGCAGGGAGCAGAGCTCTGAATGGAGAGGGGCCTGACTGGCCAAGGAGGAAGGGCTCCAGACTGCAGTAAATTACCTTAGTTTTGTATCTGTTTGACTGTTTTTAGCAAATACTGTAGACTGAGTTTAGTTTGGGATCCTCTCCTGATGAAGTCTGCGCTTGTGCAATGCTGTATTCTTCAAAGAATTTGCTGGACTATATTGTAGCTGCTGAACTTTTGAACTACTGACCTGATTTGAGGGATTAAGCATGCATGGTAGAGAATGTAAGCATCACAGGAAACTCAGGTATCTTTTCTGACATAAAATGAGCTAGCCACTTTGACTGGCAGATGAGTGGCAACATGGATGGAAAAGATGATTGGTGGTAGGAAGGATTGACAGAGGGCAACCTTGCATGATTGGAAGGATGGAAGAGGAGTGACACTGTGTGAATGATGGATTTAAAGTGGATGTGAGTTCCTCGGTGTGTGGTGTTCAAATCAGTTCAAGTGAGCAAGAGTGTGTGTGCATGTGCATGTGCATGGTTTTGTGAGGTGCGAGTGGGAGTTTGTTCCAGTTGGTGTGGTTGATCTGTTTGGTAGGTGTAAGAGGAGTGCGAAGCAGAAAGCTTCTTCTGTAAGAGTGAAGCTGCTGCTGCATCTTATCTACACCTTGGAGTCCCCATGGGGCTGTAAAGTGCAGCAAGTTTACACCTGAGGGAGCCTGCCTACACTTAGACACAGAAGCATTGCAGCTGCCTTCTGACTGGGGTGCTGGTCAAAGGGTAGGCCTCGCAGAGTGCTTGTCTCTGTCAGATCCCCATCTGAAGTGGATCAGCTTCTCCCCATATTGATTGGGTTGGTTACTGACTTGGTTTGGCATTCTCTTCACTGGGTTCTGGTTTGGTAAGTACTGCTATCAGCCTGTTGCTTGTTCCCATTTCTGTGACCCCAGTTCTGTATCACAGTGATATTGTGTGGTTTTGTCCTGCTATAGTTCTTCACTTCTCCCTTCCCTTTGTTTGTTATTTGAAAAATCTGTTTTCTGTCCTCGGCATGATGTTAAACTGCATTTTCTGCTGCCTTGTGGACACTCGTAGTTGAAGAAAGGGTAAGCAACTTCACCCTGACAGAAAAGGTGCTCACATTGAAGTGACAGGCAGTTAGCAGTTCTATTCCAGTTGTTCTTTGGCAAAAGCTACAACCTCTGTGTCACTGAATGTCTAGACTAATTCTGGCCCTTGGACTTTTGCTTGATGGTGTAAATGGGACAACAGCTCTGTGACAGCCTCTGCTCCTCCAGAACTCTGCCCAGGCATATGCACTGAAGGTCTTGGCGAGATGGTTGCAGGGATCTGATAGAGGCATAAAGGCCTGAGGCAGCTACCAAGACTTCCAAGCAGCCCTATTTAGGGATGGCCTGCTTGCCTCACATGAAGGTGACCCTAGAAAAGACGGGTCAAACAAGCCTTGCCTCACTACTTAACTCAACTGATTTTATAAACAGAATTGCTTGCTGGAATATACAGACTTTGACCTCTGGTTATGACTTTGATCTGGATTCATATCTGAGGAAAATGGCTATGTTGAGTAATGAGCTTGCATGTTTCAGAACTGATATTGCACCTCTTTTGGAAACTTCACTCTCAGATACAGATTAAGGAGAAGGACAACACCATGTACTGGCATGGCAAACCTGAAGGAGTAAGGAGAGAGCATGATGTAGCTTTTGCCATCAGAAATGAACTTAAGTCATTGTGCAAAGCTCCAGTTGCAGTATCCATATGTAATATGACATTTCGAGTTAGACTACTGAAGGGATTCATCAACCACTCCCTTGTCTATGCTCCAACTCTGCAGGCTAGTGATGAGGAGAAGGACAGGTTCTGTCAACAGCTGGAAGAACTGATTGGCAGGACCGATCCACAGAAGGAACCCATCCTAGTACTTGGAGACTTCAATGCAAGAGTAGGGTCCAATGCTGAGATCTAGCCTTGGTAGACATGGCATTGGACATATGAATGACAGAGAGTTCTTGAGCAATTTGTCAGTCAAGGTTTATCAATGACCAACACCTTCTTTTCTGGTAACATCAGAAGAAGAATATTATAGAGATACCCAAGGTCCAAGCATTGGCATCAACTAGACTTGGTAGTGACAAGACATACACACTTGAAAAATGTCCTGCACACCCACAGAATTTCAAAGCACAAACTGCAACACAGACCAGATCCTTGCCTACCGCAAAGTGAAATTTCAAGCTAAGAAGATCTACTGCAATAAACCTGACAGACAACCTTGTATTGACTTGAGCCAAATCAATGAACCTGGCAAGAAATTTCTTTTCAAGAAGAAGTAGCAAAGTCAGCAAGAATGAATGAAACTGCATCAGATGCATAGGAAGTCCTGAAGACAAGTATATACAATGCAGCAATCAAGAGTTTTGGAAAGAGTATTAAGGAAAATGTTGACTGGTTTGTAGACCTTCAGAGGTACTGCTGCCACTCACTGGGAGAAAAAGAACTGCCCTAGTCATCTACAAGTTTACTCTTACTACTGGAGTAAGCAACTGGAGACGTGGATTGAGCACTATGGAATGATAGTCTGGGAGTCTGTAGTAGACCAACATGGGGTGGGTTTGAAGTTATGACTTCATTGCCTGGTTTTGAAGTTATGACTTTGCTAGATGTCAAACCTACACTAAAGGAACTTGAACAATTCATCAGAAAGATTCCCAAGAACAAAGCTTGATTGGACTGTTTACCCGCTGAAATATACAAATGTGCAAACAAAGGCTTGCTGCAAAGATTGCATGAGGTACTGCTACTCTTTTGCAAGGAAGAAACTGTTCCACAAGATTTCAAGGATGCTCATTTCATCCAACCCTATAAAAACAAAGGAGACAGAAGTGACGGTAATAACCACAGAGGTATATCTCTTCTCAACATTGTGGGAAAATTCTTAAGCTGTATTCTTTTACCTAGACTTCAAACATTAGCTGAGATGATCTATCCTGAGTGCCAGTGTTGCTTCCACTTGGACAAGTCCTCCATATATATGGTCTTCTCTGTAAGACAACTGCAGGAAAAGTGCACACAGAAGTGTATCCCACTGTACATGGCTTTTATAGATTTAACAAAAACCTTTGACATGGTTAGTCATTCAGGGTTTTACACTGTTTTGAAGAAGCTTGGTTTTCCACCTATAGAGTCTTCTGTGCTGGCCTGATCCCATGCATCAGATCCAGCTGAGCATGTCAGTCCAACTCCACAGGCCAGATTCTTTCATGCAGTTACCCTGCCCGGCAGTGTGATCTAACATCATCTGGCCTGTGGTGTTTCCCATGTGTCTATAAATTTACAGTAGGGGAATGGCAATTAACACTGCCACTGCTCCCCCACTGTCAAATTTCCAGACCTGTGGGGAAACCTGTGCACCAGAGTTTGAGCACCACTGGTATAGAGTGGTCAACATTTAAATACCTGTCAATTACCTTAGATAGGTAAACAAGTATCTTTAGTATTACATGAAGTACATATGCAAAGAGAAGTGATGAGGTTAATGTGAGTCTTTCCTGCCTTCAGTGAGTTTTGGATCAGGCCCAGTTTGTGGTAGTGTAGGTATTCCCTAAAGTACAGGTAGGAAAGTACAGAGCATACACAAAATACTACAGAAGGCCAGGAGTACATGAACAAAGTAGAACTGCTTCATGGCAATTGCTTGCAAAGAACAGCTCTCCCAGGGAGAAACAATCTTGCCATGGGATTAAGTTATCCTGTACTGGAATAAAGATAAAAATTCCTGGGTTAGGGCATATTTACTTTGTTTAAAGGGGATATTACATCATAGTGTGTGTGTGTGTGTGTGCGCGCGCGCGTGCGTGCGTGCGTACACATGTGCATGTGGGTGCACACCTGGGATTTTCCCTGTTTTATGTATTCATGTTATTTAAAAATCGTTTTTCAGATGTCATAATTATATAACTCAATAATACTTCTGTGAAAATTTCTAGAAGATCTTTAGTAATGGTCCATAGCACTAAAATGTTCAGTAATGTTCTACAGTAATGGGAGATATTACTAAAGAATTAGAGAGATTTACAAATAAATTGGAAAAGTCTTGATATTTAGGACAAAGACCTATTCTTACTATAGTCAATGGAATATTGATGCTTGTATATAACGTTGGTGAGGGCCTAAACATAATTATATTAAATATTGCCATTGACTTTAAGAGCACCTAGGATTATCTTATAAGTATAAAAAAGGAGATCATTAAACAGTAATCTTTAACAATCTTTAATACAGTGAATTATGCCATGCTAAGAGGCAAAAAAATAACCAAAGCTAAGTGTACTTTTGGTTTAGAATTGGAAGAAAAATGTTTTTAAAAAAACCGACAAAACACATTGCATTACTCACATACATTCTGATAGTGCCCCTCTTGAATGGCAAAGAGACATTAAACTTTTAAATCAATCTAGGTCACCCTAAATGTTATTACAAAGGCATTGGAGAAAAAAAAAGGTGCGTGTGTGTGTGTTGGGGGGGGGCGTGGGGCATGTCTCATGAGTTAAGGAAGGTTAAGCATTCATTCCCTGGGGCTTCTTTCTGCAGATCTATCTTTGCTGCTATGTGCTTTGATTTATTTCCCCCCCCAGTAAGCAGTAAATGTGTGGCCTAGTCTTTATCCCTGAAAGCGTACTGAGATTGTTTGTAGGTAATACAGACTTTAGCATCACTGTAGCTGTGGGAACATTGTTAACTAGGAAGACTTATATTACAGTGATTAACTCTTTCCTTTTTCTCAGTGTAATTGGATTTTATCAACCATGGAAAACAGATCAAAACCTCCAAATGTGGTTTCACTTTTCTTTCAGGCAATGTGTAGGGCTTTGTCTTTATCACACTCATACTATAAAGTAGTAATTGCTATTCTATCTTTATTGTCCCCTTCGGGGTGGATTTTGGAAGACTTGTTCTATATCAGCTTTTTAGATATAACTGGTATAATCATAAGTCTACCGACATTTAACTAGCATGAGCTTTTTCTTACAATAAAGATAAATGGATCAGGGATTTGCTTGTCTCCAAGGATGTCTACTATCCAGACACTGTATGACCTCACAAGTTTCTACAGAAGTTCTAATCAATGATCTGTGTGACCCTGATAAGTTCTGCAGCCCTTCAGCCTGTGTTAGTTTCTACATGTAAGAGGCAATGTTACACTTTGCCTCTATTTAAGTTCAAGTGATTCTCAAATTTGCACATCTTTTTCATCAAGGTTAAAAAACATCCATAGTTTCCAATTTGCCCTTTGCAGCAAACGTTCTCAACATGTTCATTTTATTGGGTAGAGAATGAGACTGATTTACCACTGCATTACTAGAGCATACACCAGTGTGACTCCATTGACACAGATGATTGATTAGAGCTTTTATAAAACCTTGTGCAGTCACAGCATATTTGAATGTTGGGTATCCCAGAAGTTGAGCATGATTCACTTTAGCATATAACATGCTCCCTTTGACATCTATTCTGTGGCAGTAAATGGACTTTTGCTGTCCATGTAGCACCTTCTTGAGCCTTTAATTACTGAAATAAATTAATTACTGTGTAACCGTAGTGATTTCCTTCCCCCCCGATGGAGTCATTGATATAAAAATGAAGTAACACAAAGTAAATTGAATGATCTGTCATTCAGTGTAGGGTTTGTACAGAGCCTGGAAGCCCTTTCATTATTTGTATACAGGCA